AAGAAACAGCTTCTTATGCTTGGAACCCAGGTCTAAAAAACACATTATAGCCAAGATTAACTACAGTTCAAAAGTAGAGCTGGTTGCTTTAAAGAGAAAAAGCTGCTTACCAAGATTTATATCAACACCAAAATTACTCAACAAAAACACAAAACTAATTTTGAAAAAAAGTTTATTGAAAAGTAGTGGAAACACTGGAAAAAGTATAAGTTAACCACTTGTCTGTGTCTAAAACGCATAAAAGTGAATTCCTGCTATACAGTAGCTCCAACATGTTAACATGATTTGCAAGTCTGCTTTCTCTTAGACCTCTGAAGAAGGCTCTTCTGATGTGTTAGAGCAGCCTCTCATAGAACAGAAGATAGGCTTGGGAGCTCAGCACTTTGGACACAGAGACAGGTTGTACGTGGGTATCACTGATGTGGAACCACTGGCCTTTGACTGGCTCAGTTTCTGAAGCTGTAAAAGGAAAAATTTAGGAGTAAAAGTTATTACAAAGAATTGAAACAATCAGTTCTATTACTGTTCTTGAGTAAGAAACATAATAGTACAATCACAGAATCACTGAGTTGGAAAAGAACCTCCAAGATCGATTCCAACCTGTGTCTCTCTGATCACTGCCTTGTCAACTGGACCAGAGCACTGAGTGCTACATCCGGTTGTTCCCTGAACTCCTCCAGGGACGGGGACGTCACCACATCCTTGGGCAGCCCCTTCCAATGCATAACCACCATTTTGTCTTCATTTCTTTCTAATGTCCGAGCTGAACCTCCCCTGGCTCAGCTTGAGGCCATTTCCTCTCATCCTTTCACTGGCTGCCTGGGAGCAGAGCTGGACCCCCACCTCCCTATACCGTCCTTTCAGGCAGTTCTGGAGAGTGGTAGGATCTCCCCTGAGCCTCATTTTCTCCAGGCTGAGCCCTCCCAGCTCCCTCAGCTGCTCCTTACAGGATTTCTCCAGCTTCACTGCCCTTCTCAGAGAGCTTATCAGCCGTGGCAGGAGGTTGGAACTACATGCTCTTTAAGGCCCCTTCCAATCCAAACCATTTTGCGATTCTATAAGAATAATTTGTAAAATATTTCCAATGATTTACCTTGAGATTGTCCTCGAAGGACAAGATCAGAGAAGTGGTTGTTCATAGCTCTCATTTTAACATAGGCAGTGTAGTGCCCAGACCTCATTGTTCCGCTGTGTTCAACAACTCCATAGAGAGAGTACAAGACCTTTGTATTCCCTTCAGCCACATTCTAGAAAACCACAAGTTTAGCTATGTCAGCCAAGTGCTGGGTTTTGAAGAATGTAAACTCTTTGATTTTTTGCTGATGAAATGGAAGCTAATCATTCGACATGCATGCAAGCACTACAGTTACAAGCAGTGAAATACAAGTTATCACACAAAGTAATAGGCTTAACAAGCGTTCTACAAAGATTTTGCTAAGCTGCTTTGTTGTGAAAGCATGTTAGAACATGGGAAAGGAGAATCTGATTGTTTTCCCACTTACTTTACATTTAGCTGTACAGAAAGGAGCCAAGTCTATCACTTCTGGGAACTTGATATGCCTGTTAACCTTCTGCAGATTAAATCCAGCCTTAAACAACCAAAGTAAAGGGAAAACCCCATAATGTTAAAATGGAGCATAATAAAACCATGTTTAATTACTAAATGTTTCAGGTTAAAGTATATACAATACAGATTAGTTTTACATTACACAAAACTGGGAAAAAGCAAATTTCAAATTTTTTTCTGAAGTCCAGTATTCCAGCATTATTTCCTTGCCCCCATATGCTGCACTGGAGCACAAGTTAAGATGGCTCTTCAGCTCACTCATCCATTAATGTAATGGTAGCAGAAGTGGAAAAAGAATCAGCTGTAATGCACTTCAGTAACTATGAGGACAACTCTATTTTCTCAGATACTGTAACATGCCTGAGGATCTGATCTTAGAGCATCCAAACTGATGCAAACTGTGCTCCCACCTTAATGAAATAATCGTCCAGTATCAAACTGGAAAAACAAAAGGAAATTATGACAAATGTTATTTTCTTCATCTTATAGTCTCTTGGAACAGGCTACACATTTCCATTTTCTATATGAAATTGGCTTTCATCTAATTAAAATTGCCTCCCTTATTTTTCAAGTATATTGACCAAAACACCAAACAAGTTTAACTCTAGAAGAGGCAGTACTCTCTCTTTCCTTTCCTTCTTCTCTCTTGAAAAGCTGAAGCCCAGAGTTAATTTTTTTCTACAACTTGGGAATAAAGAGGTAAGTGACTTCGGTGTCTGTAAATAAAACTTAAGTTACTTTGCTTTCCTTCCATCCTTCCTTCTCCCCCACATGGCTCAGAATCCTCTCTTTTCCACTTCTGCCAACTTTTTACTTATTTGTTACTAGTAAGAGATCCTATTTATCTATACCTACTGAAATATATGAGCCTATGAACAGCTGTAATAGTAGGAAACCATTAATACTAAGATTCTGCTTAATACAGTAAATTGTAAGAATAATGAAGGAGTATGTTGTGAATACACTCACAAAACAGTGTTTTTCAGTTAATTAAGGGAAGTTAATTAAGTTTATTCTTTAAGGAAAACACACCTCAATGCCCCGAAGACCACAAAACACAATGCTGCACACACTAATGCCTTCCAAACTTTGGGGAAAAGACCAAGTGAATTTTATAGAAAATAAAAGTAATGCTAACATGTTTTCAAGTTAAGCTAGTACTATATGCATATGTACACATATATACATATTAATCTGAGGCTTTATGCATGTATTAGCCTGCTACTTACGTGCTGAAACCTCTTTAAGTGAAGGGTTAAAATTGGAGGAGCTAGAGAGATGAGCATCTGCTTTTTGGCATTAGTGTAAACGTACTTCTTTTCACCTGCAGAAAAGAAAGATCACCGAAGATTAAAACAAGTGTTTTAGATCAAAACAAATGTTACAGCATGAAATTTATTTTCACTGTTTAAACTGTTACAATGTCATCTACTACAAGAACTGAGAAGCTGAACATTCTCCTTTAATATGATGAATGAAAGTAGATGAAGTTACACAAATACCACTTTAGGGATAATTCCCCCACCCTTTACCCACTCAAGAAGCAGATCAGGGATGTATTTAAAGTTTTCTTTTAAAAAAGTCTGTCATACTTTTTATGTTGTTCTTTGGTCCACAATGCCTTTGTGTACACACATCACACAGTAGTTTATTGGTCTCGGTAAGTGTTTCATTACGGGTAAATTGATACAAACAATGATGGATTGAATCTTCCTCAGGGTTCAGCTCTTCCCTGTTTGCCAGAGTACAAAATGCCGTTTCGGGGTCATCCGTAGATACTTCACACGTCTTGTTAGGAACGGGCTGAAGGCCATCCAAGGTACTCGTGTCAGATTCACTGGCACCCAAGTGGAGTTTTGAAAAGTCCGTAGCAAGCTCTTCCTCATCTTCATTGTCATCATCCTCCTCTTTCAAAGACAGGTTGTCAAGGCCATTGACAAACTTCATAGGACAATCTAAGCCTTCCACAGAGAGAGCTGTGACAGACTCGTTTTCTTCACACTCTTGTTCTGGCTTTCCTGCATTTTCATGCCTGCTCTCAATTTCTGAACTATTTCCCTGTATACTCAAGTCTTTCTGAGTTAAGCAGTGATCTTTGCAATCATGTGATGATTCCTCTTCTTGCTTCTTATCAAGAGTTTCAGAGCTCATTTCAGTCTCCGATTCTTGGTTGCACTCAACATCTCTTTCTGGCTGTTCAGGTGCGCAGAGATCTGTCAAGTGAAGCACCTTTCCTTGAAGTTTTTGCTGCCGGCGTTGGTTCTGCACATTTGAATACACAATAAATAAAGAGTACAAAAACGAAAGTAAGTATAAATTATATTTAGCATTTCTTACCCCTGCATGTTTGTTGCATGCCATAGATACACATAGCAGGAGGGGGAAGAATAATCTATGATTTAATGATCAGAGGTGGTCAGTTCCACTAATACTGAATTTATCATCACTCAGACATAGTTCCCAATGCTCCTTGTTACAGTATCATCAAAATGCAGCTAATGATGCCCTTGCTGTCTTCCTGATCTTTCTTGTTTTGTGAATGTTCTTACAATCAATGACTGGAAAACAATCTCATACAAATTAAAGCTATTTCAGGCAACAAATTCTACTGGCTATTATTATATTATTCCTACACAGCAATGCTCAACAGAACATCTTAACAGCAAAGACACGGGTATAATTGGTCTTTTCAGTTGTACATTTGAAGAAGAAATTCTAAGCTGTCTCCTCCTTCATGTAAACTAAGGAAACAAAAAATAATTTCTTTTAACAAAAATAGCAAGCACGAAGTGAAATACCTATCCAAACCAACCTTGGCTTGTTTTTTGGTCTGTTTCTTCATTTTTTTCTGAAGGTGTTTACTCATACCAGGGGGCTCATATTTCTGCTTAAGGTAATGGTCATTGATTTTATCATCTTCATCTTCAGATTCCTTTTCTTTGTTTTTTTTAATGCTTTCTCTCTTTGTATTTTTCACTTTCTACAAAAGCCAAAAAAAAATACAGAACAACCACAGAAATAGAGATGTTATCTGAGTTTTCAGCTCAAATGTAACATTTTAATGATGTAACATACAACTAACTCACACCCTGGTGTTAATGGCAGGAGTGTCTCACTCCAGAGAGTCCATATGAAACAGAATGAAACAGTATGAAAGGTAAGGCTATTGAAGGCCAAATTCTAAACTTGTAAAGGGGCAACATCCCCTTTGCCTCTGACAGATCTCATTAAATGCATTGAAGAGTAATGTTTAACACAAGCAGAGACATTTTCTGTTCAACTGCCTGCCACAGAATTTGCTTCTGCTAAAATGAAACTTGTTTGTGGCAGAAGGGCCAGGGCATTCCATTCCAATATTTATGAGGAGGCCGTGCTACACAAAAAATCTGAAATATTACATATACAGATTATCAATACAAAACACAGAGCAAATCAAGTACTTTGAGTGTCTGGAGGTTGGTCAAATAAGTATTCACATACTATCCTATCAACATTTCTTAATTTTATTCCACAATCTGAATATTAGGAGAAATGTTCTTGGACTCAGTGCAGGGAAATGGGTAAAAAAGTGAAAACAAACCCCCAAAGAACTCAAACAACGCATGTGATTTTCCAGAGACAATTTATGAGCCACAATTTTGACTTGCTAAAGAGACTTATAGAAAGAAGCTTATATGCTCTTCCTAATGACTATTTAAGTGTTTTCATATAAACAAACAAACAAAGAAAAATGCTGAAAAGCACCTATGTACTGTTTCTTACCTGAACATCTAGTACGGGAAGTGACAAATCAAGGAAGGACTCATGGACCAAGGATACCTTTAAATGAATAATCAAGAGTCCAATTTTATTTTGTTTGGCAGTAGCTGGCTTGCTGTCAATAGGTGTATTCATATGTTTGCATTCAAGGCCTGCTTTTACTTGTGCACGCAACTGTAAAGCACAGCTCATTTACCTCCACAAATAGTTTCCAATGACCAAAAATCCAGCAGACACATTACCACAGAAATGAACAGGACACACTTTTATGAATTTCAGTTATCTAGTGAGACTGCACCTTAGGGCTAAGAGACTCATAGCTGTAATTTATCATGATATTCAACTAGCCCATTTGCTAATATACTCGATTACTTAATTCTCAGGATATATTATCCCAGTAGTGCCTTCTTAACTGGTCTTCCTGTTAATCCCATGGTCTTTTCATTGTGAGAAAGGGGAAAATGTAGTCTTCTGAATGAAAATGGAAAGGACCCCATAACAATTAATTTGATCTATGATCTGTACCACTGGAAGGTGGTCACTGGGAATCTAGGGGGGAATTCTGGCAGAGGCAGCTGTTGCTGACCTCTTTTTCTGGAAGGCTTTTGAAAGGAACTGAAATATTAACTTTAAAAACACAAGGGAAGAAAGATTCCAGCCAAATCACGCTCCTTTTTGAAAAGCATGCAACTAGTCAAGTCTTATTTCTACAGACAGTCACTTTGGGATTCTCCTGCAGATTACAGGACATAACATTCTGGGTTAGTCAGAGCAGGCAGTTTACTTACAGTTCTGCATTCCTCACACATAATCGTGCTGGTTAATTCTCCACCAAAGATTCGATCTACGAAACTTTGTATTCCCTTTTTCTTTTCATATTCTGAGAATCCAGAAAGTATATAATGAAGTTTAAAAAATTACATACAGTATACCAGCAACAAATTTCATTATGGCACACTGAATAAAAAAGAATAATATAACATGCAAGGTGTATGATGGAACATGTTGGCCTATTTTGGTGTCCTCATGATAGCAAGTACAGCAAGATTTTTAAATTAAGAATCTTTTGTGTATCAAAAGAATGGGGGTGAAAACACATTCCCTGAACACAGCTTGGTTAAACCATACCTCTACCACTTTCTCTGATCAAAAGCATTTCCCTATTTTCTCAGAAATACTGCATCTCAGTAAGAATTCCTGTTTTCTCTCAAGACTGAAACAACTATCTGAACTTAAAAAACAAGCACCAACTTTTGTCTGACAAACAAAACCATTTTCCTCAAGTTGTAATTTCAGAGTAACACGGTCTGAATTTAAATTAGCAGCTCATCTCCAAAGTCATGTTGAAAAGTTTAAAAATTCTGTTCATTGTTTGGATTTTTTTTATACTACTGTTCAGTAACAATGGACTATTAGCGGCTGCATAAATTACATTCAAATGCTAGTATTTTAATTTCTTACATGTTTGAATGATTAATCACTGCCCAAACATATTTTAATGTATGATGTCTACAGAATCAACTCTCTCTTATCCTGTTAAAAAGGAAATGTCACGAAGTTCAGCAATTTAAATATAGTCTAAAACTATTGGGCCTCTAATTGTAGATACACACATACTCATATACAAGTAAACATGTATCTTTTAGTTGATAACTATTAATGTTACTTTATGTATTTCAACAAAAGAGATTTTACAAGTTACTAATGGTGTGATAATTTTACCTTTAATTTTCTTTTTAAGTTCTTCTTCATTTTGTTTGTTAGAGTCACTCAGCGCCTTTAGTATTCCAACACTTATTTGCTGAAATTTTTAAAACAAATATACTCTGTAAAATTTCCTAAACTAATTCAGTTAGCTATTTCATTTTATGTTATGTTTCAGATGGAGGAAAAAGTATGATCTTTACCAATTAAGAGAATCAATACAAACAACACAAATACCTGTAGAACCACATAATAATTCCTGTAGATATCACACAAAAAAAGAAATCAACTGAGAAGTTACAACCATAATGTTCCAATTAGTATGTAAGAAAATCAGTCTAAGGATGAAACATGTGGCCAAATTAAAACTGGCAAAAAACCCCAATGGAATTTTTACAAGTGTGTTTCAGAAATGAAGACATAAGGACATTCTTTAGGGTGACTACACATATTCCAAACCCACTTTTTCTGCGGGTTCTCTTTGCTAATATGCTTCAAGTGAGTGCTATGGACAGCACAACCATGCTACAGGGGCTGACATATCTGAGAAAGCACGTTCTTCCTCCCCTCAGAAGAAGAAAGAGTCTGGGTCTGGGGTATGAAGAAGAAAGGTATGCACAACTATGACTTCAGCACCCACCTGGATTTCTTCTGCTCTCATTCCGTCAAGTAAGTAACGAAGCAATTCATGACTGTCTTGCTGCTGATAACCTTTAAATCGTATTGCTCTGTTAAATGGAATTGTAAAGTATAACTGAACTCGGAGATAAGGCAAAAATGATTCACACCAAACACACACAGACAAAGTCTCCAAAATGTATGTATATAAAAGCAACAAGTGTCTACATATATTATTTTCTAAAAATATGACAGCAGATACTCATGTATGTCACCAAGTATCTTTCGTTTTACTGCTATTCATTTGTATTTTGCTCTTCTTTCAAAAATTGTTAAGTATTCTACAAATTTTATATGCTGTGTTTTGAGTTAGAGATAAAAAGAGAAAAACTGACAGTCTTAAAACAACAAACTTTTTCATACTCAATATAACGTGCAATTGTACAGATACTCACTTTTTACAAACCTGAGCAAAAAGTTCCTTAGGAGTCACTACCCCTTTTTTTGTCTCTTGCATTTCTGTCACAAACTGATGCATGGCTAGTGTTAAAGGACCTGGCTGATCTAGTTTTATTAGCTGAGGTTCCTGTTTGAAAGAAAAGCAACAGAACTGTTTTGCTTTAGTTCAGTGGCAGATTCTTTGCAGTAAGTTTTTCCTTTTCAGTTCCTGAAAACATTATTGTCAAATATAATACACCAAATTTCAAAATGGCTATAAGATAACCTGACAAAAGCAGTGTGTGGTTTATCATGAAACGATAGTAAAACTCAGTTATTTATTACTTAGTTCAAAGTATGGATTTTTCATCTTTACTAGGAAAAAAAACTCAATTTCTTTAAAAAGGTTATGCATTTTCTTTGCTGTCCAAATCTCTAACTGTAATAACAGGTGTGTTATTTAAGTTAGTGCTACAGACATCCTCTAATTTCCTATTTTGCATTTAGACAAGTAGCACTATAGGAAGAATGACACATTTTTATCCTTTAAATAACATCATCATAAAGCAAGCACTCCTTCTACCACAGAGTATTCAATCACTACTCTTACACTCTGAACAAAATACCTCCACTGACTTCAGAAGCAGATTTACAGAAATCAGTGGTGAAGCTCCTGCTGATTTTACATCTTAATGTTGTTAGTATTTAGCTGGAACAGCTTTAAAATTGATAGATAAGTATTGCTTGTTTACTTAACAGACTGGAAGGTGAGGACAAACACTAGAGGTCAAAGCACATTACCATGCATAGTTCGGGTGACTCAATTTTAATTGTGGTGCCAGGCATTTTAGCTTCTTTAAGCAGCTCCCTCAGGACTGGAGTTTGTGATAAATTCTGTAGAACATAAAAGACAGAGAGATTGGAAAATGGGGACAACACGAAGGGCAGCTGAACTCCACTAGTCATGGAATTTGTAGCAACCAGTTTAGCAGCAATTTATTTTCCCTAACACAGAACTAAAGTGGTTAAAAACCACTCTAGAATCCCCATCTGTGTTTAAGACTTAAAGGTCCCATATAGCTAATGGGACTTTCAATGCCCTCTATAAAGATTACTTCATATTGCAGAAACCCTAAATATATATTTCTTCTACCGACTGTCTTTTGACAAGTGTTTTTACTAGTGTCTGCTTCTAAAAAATCAAAGGATAAAATGCAGTGTATGTATTTGCTTGGTTTAAGAAGTGTTTAAAAGTAAATCAAAAGAAGTTTACTAAAATCTGCAAGAACAGTGGGAATTTTGAGTAAAGCTTCAGTATGAAGAGCCAAAGAGCACAAGATCACATCAGTTTCAATACACATGAAAGAACAAGTTTATTCTAAGCTTCTTAGCTGAACAAATAACACAAGATGGCAATGCCTGCAACATGCTCATCCTGTTTTTTAATTCAATATTTAGTTTTGATTTCCTGTTGCTGAGAGAGACATTTTTATTACAATAAACACCCATGGTCTTTTGAATACTAATCTCTTATGGTCTAAGAGGTCACAAGGATGATGTGTCAGACTATTTCACCTTTTTAAAAAATACCTAGAAGTTGGCATGCTTATTTAATGTCAGTGAAATATGCTGTCCCTCAAGGACAAGGCACTTTATTGTACATCCCCTTAGAGCAAGTCTCAACCTGCAGCTCCATTTCTTCGTATTTCTCTGGGCCAACACACTATTTTTAGAAAGAAGCCATCATTCCTGGCACATTAAAAAAATCACATTCTAATTGTGTCACTGTAAAATGCTGGGGGAAGGGTTCTTGTGAGCTGTTTTTCATTTTGTTTGTGGCTTTTTTTCCTATTCAAAGCAACAAAACAACAGCAAGTCCTGTACCTGCATCACTGCATTAAAGAAACATGTATTCCCCAAGTTACTAAGTCCTTTCACAGTGATTTCTCCATTAGCAGTTGAGTGAGAACTTTCTTCTTTTAGTGAATCTTCTTTTTCTTGTTCATTTTTGCTGTCTTTTTCTACTTTTTTATTTTCAACTTTTTTGTTCTCTTGTTTTTCTACTGAAATAAAACATATCACATATTAACATAGTTACAGGGTATAGGCTAGGAAATATTATTACAGCCACCAGCAATCTATGGTGTTTAGAGCTTATACATATGATGATTGATTCTTTAATTTTTAAATATAAAACAACTGGTTTAGGTTCTTAAATTGTCTAGGTAACAGAAGTTAAAAAATAAACAAAACAAAAACATCAAATCACAAACCCCCTGAAATGCCATTTCAAATCAGCAAGCAAATTAAACATCTCTTGGCCCACAAGCCATTCATGTCAACATCCTCTGAAATTCTTCAAGTGTTATCTCAAATTTTATTCCTGTCAATATCCTGTCAAAATGTGAGGGCTTTCTACATCATCCAACAGGCTCTCACTGTCAAAGCATTCTCATAATCATTTCATGTACCTGAACAGATGATACTGAAAGGTTTATACTCTACAAGACTAGTTAAAAATATTTCTCCCCCAAATTATTTTGGTGTATTGCTGAAAATTTAAATGGCCTGTTTAATAAAGCTGTAAGGGAGTGCCAGGAAGCTTTCAAAATAACAACCACACTGTTTCTGCCAGTCTGGCAGTCAGCTATTGATTAGGTTTCTGGTAAATAGGGCTGAGAGCTAATATTAACTTTAAAATCAAGTAACACAAGTTCAGAGAAAGCAAGGAAAACAGACGATACAATCTTAGGACAAGAAACAGACGGATGGACAACACACACAACACATGAAACAAGCAACAACTGCACCCAGGTATTCATTGGTTTTCCAGTTCAAACCCAAGAAGAAAATTTTGGCAACTGATATGAAGTTCAACTGTGTGTCTGGGAAAGACTGACCACTCAAAAAACTCTGCTCCCTGTGGGAAAACCTCAGCTGCTTTCTGAAAAAATTGAATTCAGAGACATCCACATGGCACTGCTGGATGTTTGTGTTCCATTTCCCACAGGGCCTGTGATTTCACTCAAGTGTTGGAAATTGTGACAGTCATTTCTATAGCATTTATTTTCATATGCAAATTCTTCCAATTTTTCTAGTGGAAAACACCTCCTACAAAACCAGTTTTGCCATCATGGAAAACAGGGTTTTTTTGCTGGGTTTGTTTTCTTTTAAACAATTGTATTTTTCAGACAGACTGCAGGCTGAACACAGTATTTTAGCGTTCTAAAAGCACTGCAGCTGCCTATACTAAATGTACAGACACAGTGACAAAACCTCTGTATACTACTCCTTCCATTAGGGTATGTGCTGCATCAGCTGGAGACTTATCATTCCTGATACATTCACAAATACCCACAAAAAGACCTTAAAACATCAAATCAAATTATCCTTAATCAAGGACATTTTCTCTTTAGATCTCAAGACAGACTGAGCAACACTGATGAATAAAACAGCACCTGAAGTACTGAACGTCAAATGCCTATTTGCAGAAAAACTGAACGTTCCATTTTTTAAAAAGTCACAGTAAAACTGTCTTTTTTTCCTCCTATTCTTGTAGGTCTTGTCTGTAAAAGTTTAGGGGATGCTGAGAAAAATCCTGATCTAATTAGGTCTATGGGCTAGGATGTTAATTATGCTGTCAGAACTGTGATAAAGAATATTTTAAAAGGGGAGAAATTAGTTTTTCCCTTTACCATAAAGTGCTAAATCTAATTTACTGTTAATTCTGGATTTATAGTACTGTCTCCACCACTTAGGAGACATTCTGATTTACTGTATCTATACTATAATTACTTACCTGTATGTGATGAGTCAATACCAACTTGTTTTCTAACAAAATCCACAGTCTGGCCCAAAAGTGTTGAAGTTTTATATGGAACTTCATTATCACATAGGTAGCACCTGTCTCCGCCGCCCCCAAAAGAAAACAATTAATCCTATTTTTTTTCTATTATTTAAAAATCCTAAACTATTTACTTGTTTCAATACACAAAGTTATAAAAGAACAAGGTTTAGTGTAAGATTTTTAAGTCTTAGAGAAGAATTCAATCTACTCAGTACAAAAATAAAACACTTAAAAATTATCTTTAGTAAATTATTTTGGTGACTGGCAGTTGCAATTTACAAGTATGAATTAGACTTCTAAAAGATGTGCTTCCTGCTGCAAGAAAAAGAAAAGCTTGGAAAATTTTGCCAAAAATCAAGAAACAAAGATATCAGGCCCTACAGGAAATGAATTATGAATATTATGGCCTGGAAATATATTTTGAATATTCTAGCCAATCAAATACTTAATTGTATTTAAAAATCTGCTTTAGAGAAAATTGTGGGAGAAGCTGCATAAAGACTTGAGAAGGGTAAAACCCTGACAGAACACAAACAGCTGAAGGAGTTTTATATGTATCAGTTTTGTAGTTCCACCCAATCAATTGTTTGAAGAAGCAAAAGGTACTGATACTTCTGCATTTTGGAAAACACCAATTACAGTTCTTAGGCAGACTTCAGGATTACTGTAAGTCAGACTCAATTTTCTGATATTAAAAGCAGAAGAAGTCTGCAGCAAAGCGTTTCCCCAAATCTCTAGCTCCCCTGGCATTAGCTATAGTAATCACATTTCCTCATATCTTATTAAGAAAGTTGGCTCAGATTTTGGATGTCTGATTGTTTATCTATTGTCTATCTGGTCAATCATAAAAATAGACATTCTCACTCCTGGAATAACACAGGACAGTTACTTCCATGGTGTGTTTCAACACCATAACCTTCTACCTGTCAACAAAATTGTAGTCAACCTTGAAAGAATCAAGGGATTGGAAAAGGTTTTGTTAGTGATGGCTGTTTGATTGACACTGAAAATGAGTACAACAGCACTTGTACACTCAAAAGAGCAGAACTTAGTGAATTCCAGAACTCTTTCTTCTCAAAAACATGTCTTTAAACTCTTTACAGGTATTATTTATATCCAATTTGAACCACATGTCCACACACACCATACAGAGATTTGGTCACACATTCATATCATTAATAAAAGCAAAAGAAGTTTTGATCAGAATTTTTGTACTAGGCCCACTGTGAAATACAGTTCTTGACTGTGGGTTTGATTTATAACTAATACATAGCCAATATATCAATCTTTCAATCATTTTTTGGGCAAGTTTGTACAACCATTAAATTCCAGAATGAAGCCAAAACATCTTACTTTGACAACCTCCTCTCAATTGCAAATATTTTGATTTAAAAACAGGGAAAATGGAGCACTTCAAACCCACAATTTTAAAACCAATCTAAATTCACAAAGAGTTCACTAGTTCATTAGTAATACTATTATTAATAATGTCCATTTCCATTCTAGAATTCATTAAAAGTAGTGATCATTACGCATAAGTGCTAAGTATGACCAAGTAAATAATGTTATATAAAACGAATATGATGACAGATACTAAGTTGCAAAACCATGTTACTAAGCAAAACTAAAACTCTTTATGTGCAAGTACAGTATTTCTATATAGCATAGTTTAGAAAATTAGGGTTCCCCCTTTTATATATATAAGTATAATTACTTTTGAGAGAAGCAAAAACTAGCAGGGACGTGGGTTTTGTATTGCTTGATACAGTAGCATCTCATAATTCTAGCTGTGCTTCCTGTCTAGACGTGGTATTAAAAAATTGTATTTACCAAGGAGATAAAAGTTAGGTTGTCCCTAAGTGCAGATCAGAAAGAACCTTCTCCCAAGGTCAAAACTTAAGATTTAGAGCTACAGATCAACATTTGTTTCCATGTGTCAGTATTCTGACCAAGTAAAAGCAGTAAAATATGAAGTCAACTACATCTACTAGTTGGTCAATGTAAACCTTAATTATGAAAATTTTCTAATCATAAATTTTACAAGAAAATAACACTTATTCTGTAAATCTCAGCAAAGACTGCTGGAAATTACATGTTTGGAAACACTTTAATATATGCCTAGAGAGAAATCTCACAATGCACAAAGAAAGGACAAATTATATTCCAGCCTCTGTTGCCCTCCAGCTGTGTCTTGTGTTGCCTGACAAACTCACCACACACTCCAGTTGTCCAAACTGAGAACCAGACAGTGGGGATCTGATCTTGGTGTTTTAAAATGCTTTAAAGCATGCTGGTCTGGAGAATTTCTGTCACAGCCCTACAATATTGATAACCACAAGTGTGTAAAAAAAATCCATTTGACTGTCAATGAAACAAAGTCAGAATAAAAACAAAGTATTACAATCAAAACTGTTCAATTATGTTCAACTAATTGGGATCAACAAATGGCTATCTATTTCAAAATACAAAATATTTCTGCCAATGGATAATTTACTGGGTGCAGAATAAATAAAGCTGCTATGGGACTGAACATTTAATGAATAAATTCCAGTCTGAACACCTGAAAGAACAAAACAGAACCAAAACCTCTTCAGCATGCAGAGTTCTAAATTTCATAAAGTAATGTGAGCATTAAGGTCTTGTAAAAAATCACAGATTAGGAACATTTTTATTTCCTCAGCAAAACGAGTCAAACTTTCCAGGAAAACCAGTCCTCAAGATGGTGTTTTAGCCTTAAGCCTGCTAAATACCTTTGGGCCATCTTCCAAGTACTTCATTTGACATTTTAAAATCACACTCTATAGTATATGAAGTCATCTAAGTAGCACTATCTTTAAAATAAAAAAGTGGGACTATAAGAGTTTAATTAGAAACTCTCTTGTTCCTCTGTATTATGAGACACCGAAAGGTATTAAGACAAATTAACAACAAAAGAGATACCCTATGGCCACATTTTAGGCATAACCATATCGAAGTGCCTTCATCAGTCTCCTCCTCCTCCTCAGCCTTCTCCTGTGTCTTACTGTCTGCCTTGCAGTCCTGACAAACATGCCACTCCACATTCTGCAGTGCCTTTCTCACATGCCCTTGGTCCAGTCCTTTACGGATATGCTTGCACACAGGTTCTACAAATTAAAAAGCACAAGAAAGGTGTAGGTAGCACAACAAATGCAAGCACTCAAGACGCAGGCAGCAATCCAGAACCTGGGATAGTCTTTGTAGAGCCAAAGAAACACTTACAATTTATCAGAGTATCAGAAAGAAACCTTTTGTTACCACCATTCACAATCTGGGTATGCTGTTGCTGCATCCTGAACTTCACTTTGAGGTGTTTTTATTGCTCAGATAGTGTGACAGCTCTGAATCCATCTTTGTTGAGGAAAGATTACAGCCTCAAGATTGCAAACTTCTATTGGCATAAGCTGAAATTGGTGCAAATTTTTGTACCTACAGTTCTGTTCCTGTCCAAGATTACAGGATTTTATCAAAGTAAAAATGCTAGCCAACAAGAGACAAACATAGACATTCAGCATCTTTAGCCTTTCTGAAAAACATAAGCTTCATCTATAACCTCAAAATTGTCATTTAAAAAACAAATAAAAAAATTTGAATATTGGCAACTCCTGTTACAGTAGAATTATTCAACATGATCAGTCTTAGTTTCATTTGTGTCTTTACAGGTCTTTGTCATTGTAAGATAACCTATTTATAGACAAAAATTGAGATGCCAGCAGCAGGTAGAACATATATGATCTCTTTGCAGAGAGAAATAGAAGAACGCTTACAGTAGACATTGACCCTGACTTCAGGAAACAAAAAAGCCCCCAGCACCCCCAAGTGCCAAACCAGACAAAAACAGCTAAAAAAGGCATTGTTTCCACCAGGGTTTTATCTGATGCTAATTTAATCAAGTTAAGATCTTATCTCCTTCAGCTAATGACNAGAAGCTAACACAAGAAGACCAGGACAATCAGGAAACCAAAGCAGAGTGGACTTAAACAGGAAATTTACACTTATTTCAGGAAATTTATACAAACCACCACACCATCCCACCAAGCCTCCTCAAACTCTACGTGCTCTCTCTCCCAACTAAATTAACCTGGTTCAACTCACTTCCCCAGCTGGGATCAACAACAACAAAAAAAAAAGATGAGAAAGACAAAATCTGTGACCTGGCAGACAAGGTGGTAGAAGAGAATGCAACACAACATCAGTAAAAACAAAAGCTACAATAACCAGGGTAAACAAGACGAAAAAAACATCAGCACAGGTGAGATCCAGTGGAGCTAGGAGAATAAAATTAAGTATGTGGGATTGGGAATTATTAGGAACAGAAGAACAGAAAGGTTTTAACCAAAATGCACTCTGAGAGCTGAAGTGTCCAGAGTCAGTACCAAATTAGCTGCTAGAAAAAAACCAAATGGCTTCACAAAAAGTATTTTAGTCACAGCTTTTACTGCTAAAGCAAGAATCTTCTGCAACAAACTTTTCATTAGGAAAATGCAACTTAAGCTTGGCAGCTGACTCCACAAACCTTTATATTCTGAGTAATTTTACACAATCTGCATCAGTAAAGAACTGTGTGTTTGAGTTTACTGAAAAACCAGAAACTAATCTCAGTTTTCAAGACAGGATTATTATTTTCTAGCATACTTAAAAATGTCACGACAACAATATTTCTTGCTAGACTTGAGTTTCAATTAAAAATCCAGATTTTGTAAATGAGACTTCAAAGCCAGTGACTAGTGTGAAGGCCTTTTAATGTTAATCAGCTTTCAAGCCTTCTTTGAGGTTAAAAGAAACATTAGGTCCACAGACTTCTCCAAGGAAACATACTCAGTATATCCGGAGACTCATCAGACTGTGCAGTTTTGCCTTTGATGCGTTTCTTCCCCATCTTTGTTGTCTGTAATTGTTCTTAAAAGGAACAGTGACCTGTAAGATCAGAAAGCAGTTTTAGTTTTCCTTGTTCATTGCTACACAAGTTATTTCTATGGCCAAGCTGTCCCTTGAGGTGAATCAACTGGCTTTAATATTACATTTTAAAAACAAAAAATTAATTATATTTTAACATAAAACATTTGTAACTGTTGTATAGACAAGATCACAGTGTGAATCACAAAACCCAAATGATTTAAAACGTTAAATCAAAAGCATTGCACAAAATAACAAGACTGGAAACTTCAGTATCAAAAATCCTATAAACGTTAAGGACTTTAACTAACACCACAGGGATTTTATGAAAAATAATTGGTTTTGTCCCAATTAAATCTTGAAGCATTTGCAACCTTTTCATTTTGATTACTGCAAATTCCCCGTGTCTTTGATAAAGTCTGACACAACTAAAATACTTTTAACATATCTGAAAATATAGAGACAATGCGAATTCCGATTTTTCATTCTCTTTACTAGGGAAGATTTATCACCTTCCCCACATATCAAGCAAATAATTCAGACAAGTGTGTTACAATTATACCTGTGGACCCTTCTCGACAAGAGTGATCTACCACTAGACAGTCCTAAAGCAGGTGCTTGGCTTCAGACAGGTGGCTACTACATATGTGATAGAACACTTTTAGTTTCTAGTCTGTAGCCCCTGTATCTTACCTGACAAAAGACCATTCAAAAATCTCAGGTAAACTTAAAACTCAAACGTATGTTGTACAATGAAAACAAGGAAGCTAAAAAGGTTCAAAATCAAGTCTCTGCAATCTTTGCAGGCTGGTTTAACCCTACTGTCCACCCTTCATGTAAACACAACCAGCACTAAGTCTGTATCAATTCATCTTTCCAAATCCATTTCTTTACTTGTACTTGGCAGCACACCAGCCCGAGAGCACAAATGGCTGCACAGCCAAAAAAATTAACCCAAGAGAATCAGAGAGAAAAATTAAGCTGGGGAGAGCTTAGGCACGATACTCACAGATAACATGTTGTATAAAAATAAATAAAAAATAAAAATAAAAAGCGATTTACAAAGACGAGCATGCTTGCATGAGCATACTCATAGGGCAGCACCCAATTGGTGATGGCTGGTTGGCAGCCACTTCATCGAGAGCAGAATTACCAACTTTTGCAACTTAGCATTCAACTTGTTCAGAAAAGAAAAAAGCAACTGTTCATCCAACAACCTTCCTCTACAGCACATTTTTTCTGCAAAAAGCTACAACATGATCTCCTGCAAACAACTTTTAATTAATAAAATCCTTTCCAAATTGTCCTTGCTCCTGCCGGCAAGGCAGGACGGCATCAACACGTGGAGCTGTTAATTTAAGCCACGCTGCGCCTGGACAGACTTGTCCGACAGGCTCTGCACCAGCCTTTCCAGGGCACAGGCCTCACGAGGAAATGCACAGCCTAAACGACTGAAGAATTTTATATTTTTAAAAATAAGATAAAGCGGTCTGTAAACGACCAAACGCGCACCTGCGTTTGACTGACACCCTGGAAAAAATCCCTCAGAGCCCCTCTCGGGGAACCGCCGGCGTGTGGCGGGCAGGAGGCCTCACGCTGCCGCCAGCCCGCACTTTCCGACCCGCGGGGAGCAGGTGAGCCCCGGCCCGGGCCGCGGCTGGGCCGCCCCCGTGACCCGGCCCCGCCTGCTTCCGATTGGCCCGCGCCATGACTGACAGCTGCCGCAGCCAATCGATAGACCCGCGTGTCCCGGCCAGAGCAGCGGCTGCAGCGCGCCGCCGGACCAAGTCGTGGACTAGGAGGAAAGTGGCCGCGGCGGTAGGAGCGCGGCGGTAGGAGCGCGGCGGTGGCCCCGGGGGGCTCTCGTCCCTCACCTGCCGGTGCGGCGGGGCGAGTAACTTGGTGGCGCATGACTCCACCAGACGGGACAGACCTCTCACCTCAATCATCAGTGGCACGGCGGCGGTCACCGGCTGCCATGCGCGCTTCCCGCGCGCTGCACTGTGGGGCCGTGACCAGGAGTGGGGCGGGGGACGTGTACGCGCATGCGCGTGCGCCACGCCGGCGCGCTTTCCCCTCCTCTCTGCTCTGAGGGCCGGTGCGGAAAGCGGTGTGGGGGACGCGGAGTGTTTGACCGTCAGGGGTGGCTCCTCAGCGCTCAGCACACCTGAGCAGCAGCCCTATGGGGAAGACGCTGGTTAGGTGACACACCTGCGCGTCCTGTTCCGCCTTAGGACAGCCGAAATCGCGTGGGCTGTCAGTGTGTGTGCGTGACCCGGACTGCCCGGCACACCCGAGCCGGTTATGGTGGGCTTGTTCATAGCTATTAATATACATTAAGTCTACAGCTTCCTCGTGAGGGGAAGTGGAGGGGCAGGCGACCAGTGACAGGACCCGAGGGCAGGAGGTGAAGCTGTGTCAGGGGAGTTTAAGTTTGGATATTAAAAAAAAAGGTTCTCCCACCAGAGGGTGTTGGGAGCTGGAACAGCCTCCCTGGAAAGTGGTCACTGCAGCGCCTGACAGAGCTCAAGAAGCGTTTGGACAATGCTTTTCAGGCACAGGGCGTGACTCTTGTGATTGTCCTGTGCAGGGCCGGAAGTCAGACTGTATGATCCTTGTGAGTTCCTTCTAACTCAGCATATTCTTTAACATGATTTGCATAGGAGTAGTTAATGAACTTTGTCCCATATTCAAGCGTGTTTTCCCTGATTTTTTTCTTTGCTCAGGGAGCAACAGAAATGGCCAACCAAGAAGAAGCAGAGATACAAATTTCGGAGTTAGAGTTACTGTCTAGCATGTTTCCTTATGAGGAAGAGTTTGCTGTGACAGACCAACTGGCTCTAGCTGAACTGAAACACTATGTTGAAAATGAGTCTGCAGAGGTGCCATCTTCAAAAGTTCAGTTTATGCTGAATGTAAAGACAGAGGTGCCTAATGCCTCTATGGTATTGTATTTTATGTATTTTATGTATGGTATATGGATTTGTTTTAAGTATTGTATTACTTTTTGGGATTTTATGGCTTATGTGAAGTAAACATTTGCTTATTTGTTTTTAGGTAGAATTCTCAATGGCCTGTGCTTTACCATTTAAATATCCGACTGTTCTCCCAGAAATTACTGTGAGGTATGACTGCTAATAAAAACATTAGTAATTAGAGTGTGTTACACAAATACGGTTATGATCAGAGAAAGCAGTCCTTTTTTTTGATGGTTTACTGCTGAATTGCACGAGGTTGACAACACTGCTGAAGAAAAATCAAATATATAAGCTTATAAGTTCTCTGGTGTGCTCAGCAAATAAGTGGGAAAAGGGAAATAACATGAAGGAACCATCACCTGTACAGAAGGGTTACATGTAGATGCTGTTCATAGCATCTGATGTTCAAGAAGAAAGACGTGTCTGTTTTGATAAAGCTTAAGACTAATTAAAGGGGTGAAAAGATAGTCAAAGGTCTTATTCTTCCCTTGTCACATTGCTGTTTCTTCCAGCCTTCTGATTTTTTAACTTGTGTTTAGAGAAGTAGACTTGTATATTGCGGGAAATTGGTTCAGCCACTATACTTACTTTTTAAGTACCTTTTTCTTGATTTAATTTCACAGATTGGTAGTGATGTTTGTGACTTCAAGAGTTAGCACACCAATTAAAAATTAAGATGTTTTCATAGCTAATATGAGTTAAATGTCAATAGTAAGTGCGTATCATCTAACTATGCTTGATTTTCTTGGCAGCTTGAAGCAAAACTTTTGGAAAGTTATGAAGCTGGGGAAGGGTCTGGAACACAAATCCTATGAGGAGCAGCTGGGGGAGCTGGGGTTGTTTAGCCTGGAGAAAAGGAGACTTGGGGGACCTTTTCACTCTACAGCTACCTGAAGGGAGGCTGTATCCAGGTGGAGATTGGCCTCTTTTCCCAGGGAACCAGTGACAGTATGAGAGGAAATGGCCTCTCTTGCAGGGGAGGTTCAGGTTGAACATTAGGAAGAATTGCTTCATGGAAAGGGTGGTCAATCACTGGAAGGAGCTGCCCAGGGAGGTGCTGGAATTGCTTCCCTGAAGGTGCTCAGTGCACTGGTTTGGTTGACAAGGTGATCGTTGGTCAGAGGTTGGGCTTAATGTTGATGTCTTTTCCAAACCTAAGGATTCTATTATTCTGTGTTTTCAAAAGCATGCTAAATTGTGAACACATGTATCTTCGTATGCATTTCTGTTTTTCTTTAGGTCATCATTATTAAGCCGCTCTCAGCAGATTCTCCTGAACTCTGATCTAAGAATATATTTGATGCAAAACTTCAGTGGCGAGCCCTGCATGCTGAGTGCGAGGGAATGGGTTAAAGACCATGCAGCTGCTTACATTGACAAAGATCTTTCATCCTCCTCAATGACAGCCTCAGATGCCACACAGTCAGAAGTCACCACGTTCACTCGATTGTGGATCTACAGTCATCACATTTACAACAAGCAAAAAAGAAAGAATATTATTGACTGGGCCAAGGAGCTTTCTCTGTCAGGGTTTTGCATGCCAGGGAAACCAGGTGTTGTTTGTGTAGAAGGTTTACAAAGTAGTTGTGAAGAGTTCTGGTCAAGGTTAGTTCTTCTTTGTACTTAAATGCCATTAGTCATTAGAATATTGAATTTTGTTGTGTTGTACATGTGGCCAGAAGGTGGGAAATCCAACTACCTGCCAAACTGTGAAGATTTGCAAAGTGTTTGTGTTCATAATAATGCATGTACAACTCTGAATATCCACTGCACTGTTGGTTGGAACAGTCAAAGCAACCAGTACTGCATGGTGCACATTTATTTCTGTTTTATTTTCCTCTGTGTTTCACTTTTATAGAGATGGACTGCAGTACCCCAGTTGTGTTAGATATGTGTTCTGTTATATCACTTCACATTTATGTTTAATTCTGCTCCCATCATTTATCTTTCTGGGTGGTGCACACTAAATAAGTGTTGTAATTTGATTGTATCAGCTAAGACTGTGTGAGAATTCTTGGCACAGGGAAGGCAGAAGTGGCCCTGAAATGGAAGCCACATCCTCATTAATTATTTTGTGAGGAATAGCATTAAAGTTTTTCAGTCCTGAAGAGATATAAAAAAACCCCCAGGCTTCTCCTTATGAGAGTGTTTGCATGTGAGTGGTATTCCTATCCACCAGCTCATGAACCAGTATCTCTGTCAATTTATATACACAAACAGAATTTATTGACTTTTGTGATGGCAGTTATTCCATAGTATTTCCTAAAACAGTCATTATTTATTTAGGTAGATTTAATATTTTCCCAATTGCTTTCAGGATAAGAAGATTAACATGGAAAAGAATTCTTATTCGGCACAGAGAAGATGTTTCTTTGGAAGGTGAAGGACATGCTGAGATCCAGAAGCAACGAAAGTTCCCCACTTTGGAAGAAAAATGTTTTGATGCACATGGTGCCAGGGGAAATCATATGGACTTGGGGCAACTATATCATTTTTTAGAAGAAAAAGGATGTGCTGACATATTTCAAATGTACTTTGGGGTTGAAGGGCATTGAAGGGGTTGAAGATCAGCACAGGCCCCAGCACCGACATTTCTAATTTAATCCCTGTAACAGATTCCCTAGCTTTTCTGCAACAGTTGGTCAGGGGATTAATAATTCGTGATTTATGTGGTGAATCCAGTTTTCAATGAAAACAAATATCCAGTGAAATCTTGAATAATGAAAATGACTATAGGAATGCTTTATGCACTTTCTGGTGTTAAGGAGATTTTGGGTACATACCTACTTAAAATGGAAGAAAATGTGTTTGATAACCTACTGGACAGTCACAGAACTATAGATGGATGAACAGATGGAATATGGTGAATGAATATACAAATAAGAAAAGACAAAAATGCAGTTTGGATATCTCAGGAGCGAGAACATGATGTTTACATTAATTGTTACTGTTTACATACACTTCATGAAAACTTTTTAAAAACAACTTTCTACTTTCTACCTGATAGTAAGCCATGAGATGAATATTTTATTTAAAAAAGAATAAAGGGAGGGAGCAAGTTTAAAGAGTCTTACTAATGCTACTAAGATGAACTAGGATGCCTCCTCTAAGGCATAAGAATTTTCTGTAGGTAAAAGTGTGTGTGCAGGTAATATAGATACCATAGTGGCTCCACTACATCTGTTATTTTGGTTTGTGTAAAACCAGCAGTGTACCAAGGATTGGGCTCCCTTATAGCATGCTCCAAAACTCTGAAATTATCCTCAGCCTTCTGCGTTCGCAGGTTTTCAGTCCTGTAATATGAAGTGCATTATGCTGCGTGTTTTTGAGTGGAATTTCAACAATGTTGTATCAATGAGTGCTAATTTTGTGGATACTGCATCTAAATCCCACGGTAGAAAAAGCAGACGTTAGTTTCTCTGGATTAAATATTTTTAATAAATATTGATGAAATGTTTCTGTACACATCCAGTAAAATCTCTGCGATTCAGCTCTCTGGTACGGACTTGGAACACCTTTTGTAGGGATACTTCACAGCGATGCCATCGACAAGCGTGGGTGAAACTTTCCCCAAATCCAAAGTCCTTGTAAGTGTACAAGAACGCCGTGACTCCGTAAAGGCCCCACGGGACGCGCGAAGTTTAAGATCGATGCATTTTATTTTTTTTTCTTTAAAGGATGTTGTTGAGTTTAAGGCCACTCGGGGCAGGTTCCCTCCCGCGCCGCGCGGCCCCGCCCCGGAAGTGTCGCGGTGCCCGCGGTGGCTGCGGCCGGGCCCCGGTCCCGGTGCCGCCGCCGCCATGGGGGGCAAGAACAAGCAGCGAACCAAGGGCAACCTGCGGGTGAGCGCGGGGCCGGGGAGGGCGGTGGGGCCTGGCCGGGCCTCGGGCACCGGCAGTTCCGGCGCTCCGGGGGCCGCGGGCCGGCGGAGCCCGGCTCCCACCGTGGGGCAGAGCGGTCTCCGGGCCCGGCTGGGTTAGCTGGGGCTGGGGCCGGGCCCGGGCCGCCTCTTGGCTGGGCCGCGCTTTAGGGCAGTGCGACTGCCGCTGCTGCGGTGTTTGTACGGAGAGGGGCGGCAAAAGCACTGCGGGTGTAGATTGTAGGTTCATCAAGGTGCCGGTGGTACATTCGGTGTGTTTTTCTGTGCAGTCTGAGAGTACTCTCTTGCCAAAAGGCCAGAGATGATGTGACATCTGTCCTGTCACTCAGGATTGTGGGAGAAGTCTGGTGTTCGGGTTCCCTAATTCTTCCCTGGATTTAGGGATGACTAGGGAACGCAAAGCAGCATGTCCTGAACAGCTCACATGCAGAAAAGGTGATTTAAACCCCACAGGCTTACAAAACTGCTGTTGTCACTAGAAAATAAAAGGTATTGTCCCAGGGGATATTAAAGCATCAGTAAGTTTTGGAGCAGTTTTTCCAAAAGAGTGTGGTTGAAACAAACCTGAGCCAGTAATACAATGAGCAAAGTGGTAAACTAGAAGAGGTGCTGAGCTCCAAAACACACACTGTGTGGTGGTATTTATTATACTTGTTACATATGCCTGCTTTTACTCCATTCCTCTAAACAATTTTTGGCCACTTGGTTGATGGGAGAATCCTTTCTTTAGTCTATGTGTTTTTATTTGTTCAGAGAAAAAAGGAGCATTCCCTGGTAGCTGTATTGGCCCATGATAGCTAGGAAAACCAGAAGTAGTGAAGCGGGTAAATAGTTTCTTAATAAATTGTTTGCTTGCAGAAGATAGTTTTCTGTTTGTTTTTTTTTGTTTTTTTTTTTTTTTTTTGGTAGCAAAAAAAAATATAAAGCAATAAACACAGTAAAAAATTCCATAAGTATTCATGCATTATGAGAAAAGAGAATTCTGATTCACAGAATCATCGAATAGACTCACAGAGTCTATTGGTTTGGGTTGGAAGGGACATTAAAGCTCAACCAGTCCCACCCCCTGCCATGGGCAGGGACACCTTCCACTAGACCAAGTTGCACCCATCCCCATCCAACCTGGCCTTGAACACTTCCAGGGATGGGGCAGCCCCAGCTTTTCTGGGCAACCTGTGCCAGGGCTTCACCACCCTCACAGGCAAGAATTTCATACCTGATATAAACCTATTTTGTTTCAGTTTGAAGCAATTTCTTCTTGTCCTATCGCTTCAGTTCCTGATGAAGACTTCTGTCCAGCTTCCTTTCAGGATCCTTGGTGATACTGGAAGGGTGAGGGCTCCCTGGAGCATTTTCTTTTCCAGACTGAACAGCCCCAACTTTCTCAGCCTGATACTAAAGAGAAGAATCATTTTTAGGTCAAACTTCTATGTTTAAAGTACAGGTGGACTCTTCTTTGAGAGACTTTATTTTAATTAGAAGGTTAATTATACAATATAAATAGGATCATATTTTCAAATGCATGATGTGTGCAAAATAAAATTAAGTAGATAATTGACTCCTGTCCCTGTTTTTTGTCAGCCTTCTAGCAGTGGCCGAGCTGCTGAGCTCCTTGCCAAAGAACGTGGAACAGTGCCTGGCTTTATCGGCTTTGGAACATCTCAGAGTGATCTAGGATATGTTCCTGCAATTCAAGGAGCAGAGGAAATAGACAGCCTTGTGGATGCTGATTTCCGAATGGTGTTGCGAAAACTTTCTAAAAGGGATGTCACAACCAAGTTAAAAGTAGGTTTATCCTTTGCCCCTATAATTTATTTATTTTTTAAATTGGTGAATAATGCAGTTTTCTCAGTGGTGGAAGAGGAATAGAAAGTAATTAATACTAATTTCACTTTGGTGGATTTGCTAGAACTGCAATCCAGAAGATATCTTGGATAACCTATAGCAAGGTCCATCATGCAATTATCTCTGTAGATGCTCATTTGCAAGAAATGAATTGATTTTTGGAAAAGGTTGTTGCAGTTTCAGATACAAACTGGTAAATTACAGAATATATCTGCCTGACTTCCTAAGTTATGCTCTTGATATTTTGATTTTAGGCTATGCAAGAGTTTGGGATGATGTGCAAGGAAAGAGAAGCAGAAGTTGTTAAAGGTGTTCTTCCTTACTGGCCGAGAATTTATTGTAAAATTTCACTAGTAAGTATTGAAGTATTTAAATGAAGAACTTAGCTGTATATATCCTGTGATTACCTCTAAAGTGGTCTTTGTTGGCCTATCTACCTTTGTTGGAATTACTGACTTGTTTTAGAAGAAACATCAAAGTTGAAGGAAAATGCTGTTCTTTTTTTTGTGGACATATTTTAGTGTTGGCAGTGGGTGGAATCTTGAATTGTTGGTGTCTGGGCTGAACTTCCTTGATAGGTCTGTTAGACCTTAATGTTTAAAAGATGGTACTATATTTCTTAGGAAAAGTTCTTTTATGTGGATTCCAGAAAGGCTAGAGAGTCTGTTCAGTTAACATAATTATAAATCTTCATGTAGGACCAATATCTGACCAGACTTAACACTAAAAAAAACCCCAAACCCAACTATGAAAAGGCCATGTGTAGCCAGATTAACAATAAGTTTCTTGATATATTTATTGTATTTCCAAGCTGTTTAGAATGGCTACTGTTGAAAACATGATATGGGATGAAATGAATCACTATTCTTACCCATTAGAGTGATTCCTACTGTTTCTTTCTGGAGTCAAGAGTGTAGAAAATCAGGGTGTTGTAAATTCATGTGCAAATAAAGGATAACAATGCACAGCTTTATGGTAGTTCTAATATAAAATATGTCTTCAAGGCTTTCTGTTTCTCCTGCCTCTTGTCTGTCTGTAAAATGTATAAATTGGAAAAAAAAACCTGTTGTTAGAAATATCAGGGAAAGGTAACAGTTCTGAGTGTACAACACTTTGGGAATATGGTGCTAGTAAATTAGAACTCTCCCCATACCTTGGGATACCAAAACTTTTTTTGTCATTGATGTGTATTTTGAAGTCTATGTTTCAAATCCAGTTAATGGCCAATATGGCTTTTTAATCACCACTTTTGCTTGGAAGTACCTGAAAGCAAAGGTACATTTCTTAAACCAATAAACCTTTCTCTTTTTTTCCTTCTTTTCTTTGTTTAACAGGATCATGATCGGCGTGTTCGAGAAGCAACTCAGCAATCTTTTGAGCAACTGATTCTTAAAGTAAAAAAACACTTAGCTCCTTACTTAAAAAGTATCATGGGTTACTGGCTGATTGCTCAGTGTGACACTTACTCCCCTGCTGCTTCTGCTGCAAAAGTAGCTTTTGAAAAAGCTTTTCCTTCAAGCAAACAACCTGAAGCCTTAGTATTCTGTAAGGATGAAATTCTTAATGTGAGTCTATACTTTTGTATTTCTTTAAGTCTTTGTATATAACAACCTATATTAGAAATTTAAAAGTCATCCTTCCCCTGTCTGTTCTTCATGGTTAAATTTCTTTCTTGCCTGAAACTTTGCTCCTGTGAAGAGAACCATAGGATGGTTTGGGTTGGAAGGGACCTTTTAAAAGGTCTTCATGTTCCACCCCCTGCCATGTGCAGGGACACCTCCCACTAGACCAGGTTTCTCCAAGCCCTGTCCAACCACGCCTTGAACACTCCCAGGGATGGTGCAGCCCCAGCTTCTCTGGACAACCTGTGCCAGGGCCTCACCACCCTTACAGGGAAGGATTTCTTCTGTAAGCAAATATAAAAAAGAAGAGGAATAAAGAATGCAGAGAAAAAAATACATGTGTTGTTTTGGACTTGAGATGAGAGTGGCTGGAACCAAAGGAATGAATAGTGCATTTCCTTGTGTGCATTCCTATGTAATGATGTTCAGTCAACACATAATGTTGCTGACTGATGGAATAATGATGCTGGAGTAGTTTAGCTACAGTGAAAAAGGAATGAAAAATGCTGAGCAATGTTTCATCATCTACAAGTTTAATTCTGACCAAGGATTATGCTCTTCTGCCAGTCAGATGATACTCAATTGACTGAATTAAAAAAAGGTAAAAGATTGCGTTGCTGGCCCATCATGTACAAAGCTACCTGTTTTGATTTGCCTCAGTTTAGCTTCCTTTTAGCAGGAGCACATTGGCATAAGTATTTACTAAGTATTATGAAGACTTAATTCAGGCAGTACCACAGCTACTATGTTCAGCATGAGTCAAATTATTTTCTAGCATGTTTACTAGCATGTCTAAAAATATTAGACAATTCAGAGGTTGTGAAATTTTATTATAGGGCTGTCTCTCAATAATGTGTGGACTATATTGTTCACATATAAGTATTAGATTTCTTAGTGTTTATATGCATTATTTTTTCCCCCATAGGTACTTCAGGATCACCTTCTGAAGGAAACAGCTGATACACTCAGTGACCCTCAGTATGTTTGCCTGCTTAAATTTATCTTTAAGTCTTTAAATCTTGGTCTTTATTGGGTTCTCCATCCCTGGAAGTAGTAAATTTAGTTTTGTTTCAGGAAGATAGAATAATTATTTGAGTCCAGATCCTAGCAACTTGGTTGGTACTTAAGTATAAATGGTTTTAA